TAAATAATGGCATTTTTTGAGAGTTCAATTAACGATAGTTTTTAATATATAAGTATTGTATAACACTTTAAGCATTATGCACTCGTATAAGCAAAATTTTAGCACCAAGTGAATCTTAAATTTGCGATGGCATTCAGAATGTAGATAAGATTCATTTGTTTTCATTTAAAGGTGTTTTTTTTTTAAATAAAGGTTAATATGATAGTTCCGCCTTCTCCTGATGAGTATCTTGTCGTACATCGAAGTATTTTGCACGAAAATTTGTTTAATTATTCTATACATACAATAAAATTCTAACTTGAGTCGAATCTGTACATTAAATATTTTTTGGAACATCTTATTGAAATAGTCATTACGATACAGAGGCTGAATTTATAGATTTTAGGATTTATGTCTGTCTGTTTGGGAACGCATCACGAGAAAACCACTGGACAGACTTTGATGAAATTTGATATGACGGTAGCTGGTTATCCAGGTCAACATAAAGGATACTTTTTACTACGGGAAAATATCTCATCTCTGAGAAATCTATACTAAACGTTGAAACGTAACCCGAGCAGAGCGGGGGTTAGTCACTAGTTTTATATAATACAACAAAATACTAAAAATCGAAAAACAAATAATTTGTTTACATAATCGCTGTCACAACTCGCAATAACCTGTCAATATAAATTAATAACAAATCGTAAAGCAACTCGCGAGGAACATGACGTGTCAACATAAAGTATAACATTTAGTGCAATTCCAATAAATGTGTAAAGCTGCTTTACTATTGTTATACGTATCTGCGACATTTCGATTCGAACATAAAATATAATTAAAAAAAAAAACCAAATACGTTTGTTTAAACGGGTCAAAACGTTCAATTTTAGAAAACATATTTTTTTAAAAGGAACTAGCGTCTCCCGGGGGACGGTGGTGTGTTGAAAAATAGCATTATATGATAGCAAATAAATAGCTAACACTTATTGTATTTACATGTACTTAATAAAAACTGAATCGAAATTATAAACTTTTTATCCATGCCTTCTTACCGATTGGAAGACTAATTTTGAGTTTCACGGAAAGGAGTAGGTAATGCATAGCGAGAGAAAATAGAAAATCCTCTGTGGTTTGGGTGAAATAGGACGGGTTGTTAATATAGCTCAGTATGTACATTCGGGTTAGATTTTAAATAGCCTAACGAAAGCTAACTTTTAGAGACATGATGCGATATATGTATGTATGTACACACATAGGTAGAATATGGTGATTATATAAATAAATCGTTTTAACTTTTATTGTAATTAATATTACATTTAGCACGTGTAAGACTATACCACCAAGGAAATATTTTAGAAAATAAACTTCAGAAACACAAACCACGTTTTTTCAAGATCACTACTTCCCAGAATTGCATCCGTATAAGCGACACCATCGACTGGTGCAACAATGCGAGTTGTTTCCTTCAAAGCAACGGATTCGAATACGAACTAGTACTTAATTGGTATAAAACTTGTATAATGCCAGTTCTTTTGAACAATATCGACCATTTAAAATTTTAATTAGTCCTTTATAACCATTCTCTTAGATAAATAGAAAACGTAAAATCATTTTTGCAAAACGTTTCTAAAAATGAAGATATTGCAGAATGCCACATCGTTGTCCTAGAACAGTTTACTGTTCAAAGAAGTATGTAATTATATCGCTACATAACTCGCGTTTTCCTCGTTTTCGCTAAAACTATAAAAAATCAATACCTTAACTATTTCACTGCTTACTTTACATAAAACAAAATCTGTCTTAGTAATGAGCTTAGAACTAACTTTTTAGTAAGCATTCTTTGTGAAAAGCTAGGGTCTAAATAGTATAATGTAGGAAATTCATACAATAAATTAATTTATTGAGATACTACATTTTAACGTTAAGTATAGATTTCTCAGAGATAAGATATTTTCCCGCAGTAAAAAGTGTCTTATATGTTGACCCGGATAACCAGCTATCATCATACTAAATTTCATCATAATCTATCTAGTGGTTTTCTCGTGATGCGTTCCCAGACGATAGACAGACAGACAAAAATTCTAAAAACTAAAGATTCGACCTCTGTATGTGACTGTAATGTTATGTATGTGATTTAATTTCAATAAGAATTTTCAAAAAATATTTAATGTACAGATTCGACTTGCTTAGAATTTTATTATAATACTAGCGACTCCCCTACTAGTGATTCTTTAAATTGACGTAACATTTTTATTTATGAACCGATTGAAATAAAACAAATACTAAATGTTAAGTGAAGCTTACCTCAATATATTAGTGAAAACCGCATCCAAATCGGTAAAGCCGTTTCTGAGCGCACAAACGCACAGACAAACAGACAGAAATCCTAAAAATCATTGTTTTAGGTTCTATTGTGTAAATGAAAGAAGAATGATAGTTTTTCTCAAATATCTTCCATGTACAGACAGCGATCAGTTACACTTTTATTATACCTACCTATAGATTTCTGCGCCGCGCGTCCCTGCCATGCCTCGGACCCATCGTAGTGGCAACGATTGTGTACTCAGAAATACTCTTGTTGTAAAATCAAATTCATCTTAATTTTATTTTCTTACAATTACAATTAATACGAAAAGTAAAAAAGGACCACCACTTTTAGTATTTTCAAATTGTAACAAATTAATTTCTTTTGATCAATAAATAAAGCAAACATATTTTTAGACTTATTCTCACATCATTCTCTCATCACATAAACATGCTGTCGCAGGCTTTTTGGAAGAACTATTTTTTTAACAAATCTATTTTTACATAATTATTCAAAACTAGCGGTGCTAGGTACGTTTTAAATAGATATAAATAGTTATTAGCCAGCGTTAGCCATATAAACGTTAATTTTTTTTTCCTTAATTTCTCATTTTTTCTCTTTATTAAAACCTTCCGTGGACCTTAAGGAACATACGAAAAAAAAATTTTCCGAATTGGTTTATCCATTCTTGAGTTATGCACTTACCAACATTCATTTTTATTTTTATAGATGTGTAAACATATTCAAATGGTTTATTTCAATCATCCTCGAAACTTTCCATCTATTCGTGAAAATTAGTTCGGTGTTTATAGAAAAAGTAGGTACGAGACAGACGGACGCAAAAGGGATCTTGTTATCTACATCTACACAAAGAGGAAAGATTTGTATTTTTGTATGCTTGTAACGAATAAACTCAAAAACTACTAGACCGATTTAGATAAAAATTGGTAATAAGGTAGTTTGAGACCCTAGGAAGGACATAGGATATTTTTATTACGGAAATCATCCCTAAAGGGGGTGAAAATGGTGATGAAAGTTTGTATGGGGAATCAACCTAGAGACGAACTCGAGCGAAGCTAGGTTGAGTCGCTAGTGTACTATAAAAATATATGTTGTGTTTGCTAAGCACGGCGTTAGATATCCCATGACCTTCCTCAACAAATAGGCAACACAACAAAAAAATATTTTAATACAATAAGTACTTGGTCCAAGTCCAGAGACTAGGGCGTAAAACAAACACTTTAGCTTCACATTAGTACAGAATATATTTGAAAGATTTAATTTTTGTTTGAGGTGTCCTTTAACTGAGTTCGGATATATTGATCGGAGTCTCTGGTCAAATGTTAAAAATACAGATACGCGGTTAATGAAATATTTCCGGAAAGAAACTTATTTTGAATCTCATATTGTGTTTTTATAAGGAAAATATTACCCAAAAAACTATACAGAAAAAACTGGAGTTTCAACAGAATTCTAATTAGTAGGTAATCGCTCTCATATCCAAAGCAGCGTACACGTGAGTCTAGCTCTACAATCTTATTTGCACACGAATTGCTCCGATAGCGTGCTGTAGTAACAATATTTGAACCTGGGACCTTTCCGCACTCAAGGTCGCGAATAGCCAAGGATTTTGTTATTTTCCATTTCATATATTTATTTATACTCGTATTGGTGTTGCTTAATTTTTCAAAATTGAGACCAGAACGGTTTTTATATAAAATATTTATGTACAAGTGTCTTATGATACTTTCGAATAAAAAACGAGATTTTAAAGAAAATATTTACAACGTTTCCTACGATCGAAGTCCATCAGTTATGTAACTTTGTTTTTGTCCGTGCTATTTTTGATTGTGCTCTTTTCCACTAGCGTACTACATTTACAATCTGATTAATAAAAAATAGACTTTATATAAATCAAAGAGTAGAAATGTAGAGTGAAAACTAAATGATAACTGTGCGTAATATATTGTTCGGATAAAATGTTTCTTCTAAACCTTAAGTCCAGGCAAGATTCGCAAGATCTGTTCTCGCATGTTCTTCTTTATCCATAAGATTTTTATTAGTGCTTAATATTTTATATTTTTATTGAAGCACGTATAATATATTAACTTTAAACATTTTTTTGCGTATGACAACATCAAAAGTAGACCATTAGTTTTTGTGTACAATTATTACTTGTGTATACACATTACACAGCCATACGCAGAAGGGAGGTCCAGCGTAACAACTATCAGAAGGTATTTATAGCTAGCTGTCGGTAAAAAAATAGCCTGTTTGTTAATTTGTGATATGAAGAATTAGCTAAATCACACACACAAATGCATTTAGTAACATTAGCATGTACAAAAATTTTAGTCCGTATATATTGAACATATTTTAATGATTCGACAGTAATTGATGAAGAATATTAGCAACAAAAGGTCGTTATACATGTATAGACTAAAATTTGGCATAATTAGGTCCAGTGGTAGTCCTTGAAGTCTGAGAAATTGGATGAAATGACGCACAATCGGACTGGCAAATTAGCATTTTAATATTTGAAGTAGGTAAAGATGCAAATATACAAATTACGAGATGTGTTAATGGTCATGGATATTTCACTACACGTGAAGTGTCCCTTCCATTCTGAGTCACGTCCGTATGCGGTATGAGGCAATCCGTCCTCTTACTCGTACCACTGTAGTCTCACATATCTGAATAAATTACCCTTCTAACTCCGCGCGGGCGGACTGAGGGACGCGTCGTTAAGGGGGGACTCAAATTTTCCTCTTTCAACTTCTTCTTCCTCTTCTTCTCTTTCTTTAAGAAACAACAGACATATATATATATATATATTGGCATCCGCTTTACGTTTTAAAGGAAAACCGCGGGCATAGACTGTTAGCCATCGTTACTAACGCTTTTATATTAAACTACCTGTGCCACGCGGTTTCACCTGCGTTAAATGTGATATACATATATGTCTATTTCATATACATTTTTATTTTCTACACGATTTGTATTTGACCAAAGTTTCTGAGCTTAAAGCACTTAAAGTTTAAAGGTATTATAAACATTAGTTTTATTATAATGTATGAAAGTCTGCCCGATTTGTTAACACTTATTATTACTGCTCTGCTCTCTTGGGTAGTAGCATGATGATATGTAGCATATATATAAAGCCTCCCTCAATAAACGGGCTATCTAATGCAAAAAGAATTTTTAAGCCTGATTAGAAGTTCCTGAGATTAAGCGTTCATACAAACAAACAAACAAATAAAATAAATAAACTATGCCTCTTTATAACATTAGTATAGATATAATACACGTAACTATATTAAAATTTACAAAATGTTAACACAGTATTAGAAAACATGCGCGACGTCATCATAGTCATAAGAAGCAGTCGCGTAGTTTTTGTGAGAAAAGTGCAAATAAATTATGCACCCAAGAGTCTATTTTATTATAAATATAGAATATAATATAGAAAAAATGCTCTTTATTTTATGCCGTTATAAAGCGGCGCCACGTTTTATAGTGTAGAGACCATTTTTTACTTTTAATATTTACTCGCTTTTAGCAGAACTTTCACTGGCGTGAAAAAAACTAACCCATTTTGAAATATATAAAAGATAGTTGATCCTTCTCGGAATTACTCATCCTTATCAAATTGTGCTGAAATCGGGTCAATCAGATCACTTCTAAACGTAAATAAAACTATTCATGACCCGCAGCAGCGGCTAGGTACTTCATTTCATTTCGTATAATATGCTTTTGGTATATGCGTTTTGTACACGTCATGTAATCATATATGTATACAAATACGTTCATAATATATACATATTCATACATGTACGTATATTAAAGATAAACAAGAGACAGCTGTGAGTACCTATATATAAATATATTTATTGGAAAAAATATAGCACGTAAATTATAGTTAGCGGAAATGATTAAGAAGTCGGTCGACCTCTCCAAATATAATTTGAATGATCCACGTCGAAGAATAATAGTTGTTGTTGAAGCATAGAAGTATGTTATAACGAGTCTGAGCTCGGCGCGGCGGCGGGCGGTGGCGGGCGGCAGCCGGCAGGGTATCAGCGCAGTCGATATCGCTAGTTCGTTATCTCGCAGAACTGGGTCGTTGTACTTGATCCTCTGCTCCGCTTGCGTACTGCACGCCGCCGCACGCCGCACGCTGCACAGTGCACTCTGCACTACAGAGTACACGGTTACCATGTGTACCGCACTACCGCACACAACACATCTCCTATACTCTACCTATATAAGTATATAGAATCGATCGATGCCTGCGATAATTACGATGCTAGAATCCACTTATTCTGTTACCTGAATTATGATTACCTATTGAAGAAGTTCGTCTTTTTAACTCTTTGTTTGAACAATAGATTAGATTAACTTTAAGTCAAGGTCCCTTATCTCTATATCTTAAATGTTTGAAGATATACTCAATTCGAACACAATGCGCACTCGTTGATAATAATTTCAGTAAAATATATTGATATACAGAAAATCATAATATTTTTGTTGTCTATAGCATATTGAATGCTTATGACGCTTTCAGACTAACTTTACTTTTTGTGTATCCTCACGGGCAGCGTCTGCTTTGGAAAATCAAATATTGAAAGTACCTATATTGACAAATATAGACACCTCACGACTCACGTCGTAAGACGTAAATCTTCTATCTTTATTTTAAATTGCTTTTTTTTAAGAATTTTATAACTGAGTGGAAGCTATTTTAAAAATATCTATCATATCATATCAACAATTTCATATTATATTATGTACAATAATGAATATAATTTTTAATCAAAATCCTTAATTGTTTAAAGTTTTGTACTTCTACGAGTAAAAGCGTTCGTTTTGTATGTTAAATTTATTTTAATCTACCCTTACGATAACATTTACACATGCTTTTTATGCATATCTACGGTCTAGTACTTATCTACTAGTTCTTTTTAAAATAATAATTAATAACTAAAAAATGTACTTTGTATTCGATATCTGGATTTTAAAAACGTGTAAAAAGCCATACACAATTAATTGCCTGGTATTTTCATAGAATGCATCCATTTAATAGAACTTACAAGGAGACGATAAGACGTGGCACGTGCGTGTGGTCACCCTACCTGCGGCTCGGCTGTGCGCACATATTAAATACATAATTAGGTTGATAATTGCACGCTTGGGTACCGCCGCGCCGCACCGACCCGCGCCGGCCCGCGTCGCGCCGCACCGTGCCCGCTCGTGCGGCTGCACTGACCATTTCAACGTTAATCATGGATTCGCACTAAATTATATTTATTCATGTGGAGAATTCGACTGACTTCCCTTAAACTGCACTCCCGCCTACCATATTATACTGACTAGTGCATAATTATTTGTCTACTGTACACGTTCCTACAAAATGGCACGTACATATTTTTGAATAGCAGTACTGAATTTTGCCGGATAAAATTCAAGTGACGTGCCGAACGCTCCAACGTCACTGAAATATTCTGTTTTCGGCGGACTGTGAGTTTGCACCTTCCGCGATTAAAAGATTACACGACGAAATTACAGAACGGGACGCAATTAAAAATGCAGATTGGTCCGCGCGCCCGTCACGCGGCGCCGACGCTCGCCGCGGTGACGCAATCGAACAAAAGAAAAATAAAAGTTTTACAATTAACCCGCTGGGACCTTGGAAAAAATCCTGCAGTATAATTCATAAACGGTCATTAACTTTAAACTTGTTTGTACCGAGACGAGGATAGATCGATGGAGGCGACCTCTCGCGAGGATCACGGCCCGCGTCCCCGGCGTCCTTAGTGCGCGCGCTCAATGTTATTATTTCATAATTATTGCACGAAGGCAAATGAAAAGTCGTCGAAGTAATCACTAGATATGCGCCACGCGAAGGTCTCCGAGTGACATTGACTGTGTAATCGTAGCCTTTTTGGGAGCTCCGCCTTTCCGCAGCACGTGTCAAATATTAATAGCTATCACATGAAATAAAATTCGTTATTTATACTATCGTGGACGGGTTCGGGGATTCTGCATTTTGCGCGGCGGAAGCTTTAGCCTGTTAAATCATTGAACCGCGCTAATACAGCACATTCCTGAATGCGACGAAACTTATCAACCAAAATCTGCAATTCCGCACTCTACCTATCCTTTGTTTCAAAGTTATACAAGCTACAAACTAAATAGTTAACTATTTTTAAAGAGCTTAGAAGTCCGTTGTAAGAAAAAAAATACAATTATGAAAGTTCTACTTTTAGCTTATCGAAATGTTCGAAACCGCTACGCCGCGTTGCTTATAAAGTACAACAAAAACCCTTCACTTTCAGTAAGATATAACTTTTGGTTTTTCATACATAAAAAAACAGTAATCGTGCCATTTCTTCGTATATATTTCTATTAATTCACTAAACAATGTTTAGTGCTCCATACGAGAACGCGAATATCGGGCTCTAAAAGTGTACTTTGAGTGAGACTAATATGCTTGTGATTTAAGTAAAGGTGAAATATTTTTTTATAATCTTTATTGCTTTCGAATGAAGCTTAAAAGTTAAAATAAATATTCTATAATGTAATGTTTTTTTATTATGAGAATAATTATTAAAAAGTGCAAATATAGGTAGGAAAATTCAAAGTATTTGAAACGCACGTCATTAGTCAGACCAAATATGACGTCAAAGTATGATCATAACAGAGCGATTAGCGATTTTGTCGCTACAAACTAAAGTCATTTTTTTATGTAGATATGATACTTTAACGTCACGCCAAGCGCGCGATATGCCGCGTGTTTAAAGTATCCGTATCGGTATGATATTTAAAAAAATATATACAATTTTTTAGTTTTTTTCTAGCTGGATATTTTTTTACAATCATATTACGATGTTAGCTATTATATTATAAAAAAATAAGAAAATAAGGCATATTCCCCATTTGTACAATATTTTATATTACCTTTATAAAAGTTCCGTTTTAATCTGCGATAATATCTCAGTCGCACTAGTGTTTTGAGAAAAAGGACAAACATATAGTTTCGTATTTATAATATTAGTTAGCAAGGAGAAGCCTTTACTCTTATATTATGTATCAATCGTTGGCAAATCACAATGTAGCCTTAATATATTCTTAAATGTGGTATCATAACATGTGTGTACGCAAGCTCCTGCTTGGGCGCTTGGTGCAACATCCCATATAAACCGTCCACGACGGCTGCAAATAAAATTGGAAGGCGCGTTTTATCGCGATCATATCCCACAGCTTAGCTAGTAAAATTTTATATGTACTTGTAAAATGACTCATCGCACCATTACTTCAGTACCTATTTAGACACAAGCAACAAATCATAATTAGTAGATATCTAAATTGTACTCGATTATGAAATTTCGCTAACGAGGAGTGAGCCGGAGAAACTAATGTATACAATATTATTTTTGCAGCAATTAACTAGGTATAGTCGAATAAAGCCGCGGGCGAAACCTGTTATAGCATAATCTATAAATTTTAAATTAGTATCTCCATTTCATGTCGGTGCTAAGCCACATTTGCGGGCCCAGCTGGTACTACGAAATTATTAGCATGGTGTATAAATAATTTGCACGATTCGGAATCGAACGCGCGACACGACGCGCCCGGCCTATCCCCGGCTGCCCGGCAGCCGGCAGGTGCGCGTCGGACACATGTAACGTGACGTTGCTGCTCTTTACTTCGTTTTGTAAATGTAATGTTTTGCAAACATAGTAAGGGAGGTTAGGTAATAAATAATAATGTCTTCAATAGAACACTAAATGGATGTAGCGTATTGCTTCATAACTTGGACTTAGGTAAAATAAGCAAAACAACTAAAATACTTCAAAACACTCGTTAAAAGTTTTTTTTTACTTCATGACTATATATATATACTAGCATTGCCCGCGGCTCCGCCCGCGTTCAGATGACCAAAAACCAAATTCTTAGGTTTTACATATTAGTATACTCTTAAATTGCAGTTTTTGTATTTTTCTCAGAAATGATACACTTTCCCGCGGTAAAAAGTATCCTATATGTTGACCAGGCTAACCAGCAATAGCAATATGGTCACATTCTAAGCTATTAGGCAACATTAGTGTTAATTTCTTTCTCCATAATGCATATAATAAGCAATAACTATATACTTAGTATAGGTAGGTACATAATGTACTCTCCTCTAACTCATATTCATCTGTACTTGGATATAGGATACTATATCCAAGTGATTGATTGTAAATTTAGAGCGAACTTGGATGTTATTGTAAAGATAAGTTATGACGATATTTATGTCTTTTAATTTTTGTTTTGTTTAGTTCTAAGCATAATAAACCATTTCAGTTACGGAAACAAAGAGAATGGACATTCAATAAAATTAAATGAATGTCTTTATAATAGCCCATTCACGTCTTAACAAATTACGCTTCTTTATAATATACGTACATTACAATTTACGACTAACGCGATTATCATTTCAAAACATCGCCTTGAGACTTTCTTAGCGTAATTGAAAATTATAGTATCTTCTACTAAAAATAAATAAAATGCTAATGTTTTATGATACAAAAACCAAAACATACTTTAATACGGCCGACAGTCACGTAATAAAATCATAAACACGGTGCTCGGTAGTACGCGGTCCACGTCCCGGGCGCGGCGCGGCGTCCCCTCGCGCCGCGTCGCGTCGTAAAGATAACGCGCACAAATCACATTTATAGCTCCTTCGATCCAATTGACACGTCGATTTGACAGATGCCAAAGAACGAGTAACATTACACATGGTTTGTTTACATCGCGGCGCCCGGCATAGTAGCAATATTCAGCCGCGTTTTATGAATGAAGTCCATTCAGCTCTGTAGTGGCCGCTGCGAGCGGAGCCGCGGGGCGCGCCAGTGCAAGCGCGATCAGCTGTTTTGTACGTTTCCGATTCTGGTTTGACGCCTGTCGGCTCGGAAGAGCCGTGAAGACGCCGCCGTTTGTTTATGATCATGATTTATCGACCTGTTGCTCGGAATCTCGCGATTTAAATATAAATTACGGCCGCGTTTCAGTTGCAGTGGAAATATAATAAATGATTTGCTTTTGTATTGTAGTTACTCGCACGGGCGAGTTCGAGTACTGCTGGATATTTTGAATATAGTATTGAATGTGCGAGTTAGAATTGGATGCGTTCAATATAAACTACAATGAATGGATTGCTAATTACGTATTTAAGAAAATAATTAGGACCGACGTTATGTAAAAGCTTAGACCTAAAAATAAAATATTCAAGTAAAGCTTAGTCCTATGGTTTTGCTTATAGAGATATCTACCCTAGACGTCCATATTCTATCAACATTCGTTCTTCGTATATTTGAAGGAAAAACAACCACTACTACTATCTAGTGGGTATTTTAGTTGCAGTATATCTATCAAAATATTCAGCAGGGATGTCATGACCTTAGATGCAGGATACCTAGTATTAACCTGCGCGTAACGAGTAGTATCAACTGCAATGTAATTTTTCATGTTTTAGCCATTCAGAGTCTTATTGAAAAGATTTACATTATTGCGGCGCTACCTATAAATAAAACAAAGTGAAACAAACTTTTCTTCGATACACTCTCAGACGCCAAAGTTGCTAACTTTAAGTAGTGTTTTAACTTCTGCGGAATTTCAAATATGAATTGTATTAAATGTTAGGCCGAATTCTTCCGTTCCTTTTTATTAAATACTAGCGACTCACCCTCGCTTCGCTCGGGTTCGTCCCTTTCCCGTCCCGTCGGTTGATTCCCCATTTTCACCACCTTTAGGGATGATTTCCAGGATATAATCCTATATCCTTCCCAGTATCTCAAACTATCTTCTTACGAAATTTCATCTAAATCGGTTTAGTAGATCCAGAGATCACCCCTACAACGTCACAAACTCGCAAACTTTACCTCTTTATAATATTAAATATTAAAAAGAGTACATACATATAAATATTACCTACTCATTTTTTATGATTAAGAACAGATTTTTCAATATAATAAAATTAATTTTGCGGTGACTGAATATAAAGTATAATATGTAATAAAATGTCTAACTGCATATGTTGTATTTCACCCTGGTAAATGTTTTATTTTGATAATTGGACCACCTCTAGTACCTGTATTAAAACACACGATTAAGGCTGGTAAGAGTTTTTTAAAACCTTTTTTAATTTAATCGGGGTTTTTATGGATTTTGGAGTGATATAAATGATCGTATGTCAGGAATTTTGTATTAGCATACGTCACTGGC